TGTGTGTGTGTGTGTGTGTGTGTGTGTGTGTGTATCAAAATCACAAATAAAATGAAATGAAAGGCAGCAGAGAGAAGAAAAAAATCGTGTAATATCTGCCCCTTTTTTCCAAGAATAAGTTCATATAACAAAAAAAAATCTTTGTTTATCTTGTTAGCCTGGACATTTCCCTTATTTTAAGACTTGCTGCAATTGTCTTATTGCATTTGCAGATTATTTCACTTAATTTGAGCAAATTTAAAAGATTCAGACTCAAATTAAGTTAAATGGTAAATGGCTTGAATTTATATAGTTGCTTATCAAGTCCACATGTACCCCAAAGTGCTTTACACTTCACCCATTCATACACTGATGGTGGTAAGCTACACTGTAGCCACAGCTGCCCTGGGGCACACTGACAGAGGTGGGGCTGCCATGCACCGTCACCACCGGACCCTCTGACCACCATCAGTAGCCAAGGTGGGTGAAGAGTCTTGCCCAAGGACACAACGACTGAAGCAAGGGGGTTGAACCGGCAACCTACCGGTTACAGGAAGACTCCCCTAACCACTCCACCATAGTCGCCCCTAAATAATCTGCCAACGGAATAAGACAGTTTCATTTAGTAAGATTTTTTGAAATAAGGAGAATTTCCAGGCTAACAAGACAAATAATCTAACATATTGTGCTCTTGCTTAGTATATCAGTCTCAAAACAAGATCGAAAATATGTTTTGGGTGGATATAGGAATAAAATACTTAGTTAGATACGTCATTTCTAAATAAAAGGAGGTCTACATCCCCACAAAACCCTAAATCTGGAAGTTTTAAGAACCTGTAGGGGCAATTTTTAAATTCTTTAATTTTTTTTTGCTTGAATCACTCATTCGTATGACTCAAAACAACATTGATAACATTAATTGTTTCCTTTTTTCACCAGCTCCACCAGGTGCTAGTTCAACTCCAGACAGGGGAGAAAGAACAGGATTTCTCCCTCCTTCCCATTCAGGTGTCCATCAGTGTGCAGCTATGGAGATTGCCAGGATGCCACGAGTTTCTGGCTGCTCTTGGTACGTCATAGCCCAACAATGGGAGACCATTTTGGTGCACGTGAAACATGAGGATCAGTCCCTCTGGAGTCAAATTTGCACACTGGTTGTATAAAAGTGTTTTTTTTTTCTTCTGTGTGCAGGATTTGACTTATGTGAGGTAGGCCAAGAAGAAGTAGTGCTGAAGACAGGCAAGCTGGCCAACCGCCGCACTTTACACTTTGCTCTCCAGTCTCTGCTGGCGCTGTTTGGTAAATTTGTCTTTGTTTTCTCATGCTGAATATCTTGTGTTAGAGTCAGTTTGTCTTCTATTTTACAATTATCCCCTCTATTTTCTTTGTTTTTAGACTCCACAGAACTGCCCAAGCGCCTGAGTCTGGACAGCTCATCTTCCCTCGAGTCTTTAGCTTCAGCCCAGTCTGTGTCCAACCCATTGCCCACAGGCTACTCAAGCCTTCCGTTTTCTCCTCCTTACTTGGACAATCAAGCATCAGACGCTATCTCTGTCTACAGCCTCAGCTCTGTAACTTCATCTATGAGCTTTGTCTCCAAGTCGGACTGTGATTTTCTTGGTCACCGTCAACGTGGTGGGGCCACGGCACACTATTCTCTTCACAAACACCCTCAAGTTCCACGTAGTCGCTCATCTCCTCATGGGGCAGCTGCCGTGGGATCGGGAGCGCGGGGCGACGAAGAGGAATACGAGGGCTTTTCCATTATCAGCAGTGAACCACTGGGAAGTCACTGTGACTCACTGCCTTTGCCACCAGGCCACAGCCAGCGACACCATCGTGGAGGCAGAGGAGTTGGTGGGTCCACAGGGGCAGGGAGAGGTTACACAGTCTCAGTTTCATCAAGAGGTAGTGTCAGCACACCTACATCACCAGTCAAAACATCCCTGGTACCCAGCCCAAACTCACCGTTTCAGAAGGTGGGTAAGGTGAGCAGCTCAGACACAGGTGAATCTGACCAGTCCAGTACTGAGACAGACAGTACGGTCAAGTCTCAGGAAGAAAAAACTGTCAATCTCGATCCTCAAGAGCTGGCCCAGAAGATTCTGGAGGAGACTCACAGCCATTTGCGTGCTGTGAGCAGTCTTCAGCGGGCTGGAGCAGAGGGTGGGACAGGTGCTGTCACCACAGCCCGAAGCAGCACATTCCGTTCTTCTGAAACCAGCGCATTCAGCCGTCCAAACAGCAGTGCCAGTGGCCGCGCTCAGTCTTCCCCAAGACCCAAACCTCCCTCTCGTTCTTCGTCTCTGCAGAAGATAAGCTCTGGATACAACAGCCCTGCGGTCTCTGAGTCTTCTCAGAAAGAAGGCAGCCATCCTTCACCCACTCTGGACAGCCACGCACAGTTCAAATTGAAGTACCCGAGCTCTCCTTACAGTGGCCACATTTCTCGTTCCCCAAGTAATGTGTCTCCCAGTTCTGGTCACCAGTCACCAGCTGGCAGTGCCCCATCTCCTGCTCTGTCTTACTCCTCCACAGGCTCTGCGTGTTCCACATCAGCTGATGTGTCAGATTTGGACAGGCTGAGAAGAGGGGTCATTGATGAAAAAGTCCAAGCTATCCACAATCTGAAGACCTTTTGGGCGAACGCTGCAGCTCAGCAACAGCATCATCTAGGTCCCGTCAAAGCCATCCACAGCACTCCTGGACCCATTGCTTCTGCTGGCAGAGATGTACTGAGCCTTCTAAATCTTTCGCCACGGCACTGCTCTCCTAATGATGGCCAAGACAGCCTGGAGTTGCGAGAGCTGGGACTGGATAGCAGTAGCAAGAACTCTTCCAATGGTCACCACTGTTCCAATCCTAGAAAAGTTGCCCCATCGCCTACTATTTCCACAAGCAGTAGCCCTGGTGCTCGCTCTATTCGACTACCTGCTGGCAATGGATACAAATTCCTGTCACCTGGAAGATTTTTCCCCTCTTCTAAATGCTGAAATGTTCAATTTGATCATTTTGTTTGTCTATAATATACTATCCCCATGTGTTGGAGGAGTAGGGCACTTTTCCAAGACTAATGTTAGTCCACCAAGCTTGACTGACGGTCAGAAGGATTTCTTTGGCTCATGCGTGTGCTCCTGTAGAGGCACAAGGATGCTTTGGAAACTGTCTTGTCTTTGTGCCCATAACACTGTAAATGGCAATGAGAAATACTCAACGACCTGATACTGTGTTTGTGTGTAACTGTGTCAGGTGGATCTTAATGCATTTTTTTTTATTTCAAAAAACCTTTGTGTGGGCCAAAATGCAACAACTGTTGATTCTCTTCATTCTGTTTTTGGTTTGTTCTGAAATTTATTTGTTATTGTTATTATTGTTTGTTATTGTTGTTAATATTAAAATTATTATTATTATTATGTTTTGTAAATTAACTTTGTGTTTCACAATCAGTATTAAGCATTTTATATAATTAAAAAGTGAAGAAATCTGTACCATGTTAAGATGGATAGAGATGGGGAAAAAAGATTTAATATTTTTTATTGAAATCAAAAAGGGCATTTTGCCTGATTTCTTTGTGATCTGAGTGTCTGCTCTGAAGCATGGATTCTCTTGCTATTCAGTGTTAAGTATCATGTATGACTTTTTAGCCCATGACTTTTTGAAATTAAAAAAATGTCAATTTCACAACCGCCATCTTTCATTTATCAGTAAACTGTTACAATAAAAAAACATGTTTACTTTCTTGTATTCCAGACTTGGCATTTTTTTGAGTACCCTAAGAAATGTGTGCGGCCCGCACCTACTCGTTACACACTTTTTTTGCTTTACAAATATCTGTTTGCAGAAAAATGAGCATGGTATTTGTGTGTACATACCATTTTTACACATTAAACACTCCCATTTTAGTTTTAGGACAGTTACAGTAAGAGTCCAAAATGAATGGGTTTGTGTCTTCAGAATGCCACATTACAGAGAAGTTTGCATCATTATATTTTTAACTTGTGGTGTTAAAAAAGGGTCATAAATGTACCTTCAAATTTGCATTTTCAACGATAGATAGATAGATAGATAGATAGATAGATAGATAGATAGATAGATAGATAGATAGATAGATAGA